AATTAAATGATTTTTAGGCCAGGTGTGGCTCATGCCTGTAATCCCAGCACTTTGGGAGGCCGAGGCAGGTGGGTCACCTGAGGCTGGGAGTTTGAGACCACGCTGACCAGCATGGAGAAATCCCGTCTCTACTAAAAATACAAAATTAGCCGGGCGTAGTGGTACATGCCTGTAATCCCAGCTACTTGAGAGGCTGAAGCAGGAGAATCGCTTGAACCCGGGAGGTAGAGGTTGCAATGAGCTGAGATCGCACCATTATACTCCAGTCTGGGCAACAGTAGTGATATTCCATATCAAAAAAAAAAAAAAAAAGGATTTTTAAAATTATCTTGAACAATTTATACATTTATAAATACGAGTTCTTCTGTTGAGTTACTATTCTGTTAAAAGGCTATTAAAACCCAAAGCTAATAATTTCCCGAAGCAATTGTTTTCAACATCTAGTTTTTAAACATCAATGCAATCTGCCTTTTAATAGCGCTTTTTAAATTTTTTTAAACCAGAATTGGCTCCAAAGATAATAGTTGAGTAGAATGATTTTTTTTTTTTTTGAGAGGGAGTCTCGCTCTGTCGCCAGGTTGGAGTGCAGTGGTGCAATCTCGGCTCAATGCAACCTCCCCCTCTGTAGAATTATTAAAAAAAAATAAATCGAGGCCAAGCGCGATGGCTCACGCCTGTAATCCCAGCACTTTGGGAGGCTGAGGCGGGTGGATCACGAGGTCAGGAGATCGAGACCATCCTGGCCAACATGGTGAAACCCCGTCTCTACTTAAAAAAAAAAAAAAAAAATTAGCCAGGCGTGGTGGCGGGCGCCTGTAGTCCCAGCTACTCAGGAGGCTGAGGCAGGAGAATGGCGGGAACCCGGGAGACGGAGCTTGCAGTGAGCCAAGATCTCGCCACTGCACTCCAGCCTGGGCAACAGAGCCACACAGTGTCTTAGAAAAAAAAAAAAAAAAGCACTTTGGGAGGCTGAGGCGGGCGGATCACGAGGTCAGGAGACCGAGACCAGTCTGGCTAACACGGTGAAACCCCGTCTCTATTAAAAATACAAAAAATTAGCTGGGCGCGGCGGCGGGCGCCTGTAGTCCCAGCTACTCGGGAGACTGAGGCAGGAGAATGGCGTGAACCCGGGAAGCGGAGCTTGCAGTGAGCCGAGATTGTGCCTTCGCACTCCAGCCTGGGTGAGACTCGTCTCAAAAAAAAAAAAAAAAAAAAAGAAAGATAATAATATATTAATTACCAAAATCAGAAAGATAATAATATATTAATTACCCTTGTGTTATGTAGCTCAGGTTTTTTTGTTTTTTTTTTTTTTTAAAGACGGAGTCGCTCTGTCGCCCAGGCTGGAGTGCAGAGGCGCGATCTCGGCTCACTGCAAGCTCCGCCTCCCGGGTTCACCCCATTCTGCCTCAGCCTCCCCAGTAGCTGGGACTACAGGCGCCTGCCGCCACTCCCGGCTAATTTTTTTGTATTTTTGTAAAGATGGGGTTTCACTGTGTTAGCCAGGATGGTCTTGATCTCCTGACCTCGTGATCCACCCGCTTCAGCCTCCCAAAGTGCTGGGATTACAGGCGTGAGCCATCGCGCCTGGCCCAGTCTAGGTTTTAATGCAAGTGCACTACCTCAATAGGGAACATATGCTACATTAATGGGTGTATTTAATTTGCAATAAAGATACAAAACCTAGTTTGGAAGAATCAACTAGACCAAAAATATACTTCTGGAACCTGCAGGGTCCTAGCCACAAATGCAACATTCTAATGTCTAAAACATTTGTATGTTCAAAGGTAAAAGTAATTTTGCAAAGATACTGACTTTAGTTCTTGCTTTCCTAGGATTACATAAATCCCCATTTTACAAGTAGGAAAACAGAAACAGTGAAAGGTTATGTCCTTCTAATTCCTATGCACATCATCCAGTCCATCTGCTCAGACAATGCCTGCTTGCCCTGTTAATTTTCCTTTTTTTTTTTTTTTTTTTGAGATGGAGTTTTGCTCTTGTAGCCCAGGCTAGAGTGCAGTGATATGACTTGGCTCACTGCAACCTCTGCCTCCCAGGTTCAAGCAATTCTCCTGCCTCAGCCTCCCGAATAGCTGGGATTACAGGTGCCCACCACCATGCCCGGCTAATTTTTGTATATGTAGTAGAGACAGCATCTCACCATGTTGGCCAGGCTGGTCTCAAACTCCTGACCTCAGGTGATCCACCCACCTCAGCCTTCCTAAGTGCTGGGATTACAGGTGTGACACTGCATCCAGCCAATTTCCCCATCTTTTTAAAATTTTTTTGAGACAGTCTTGCTCTGTCGCCCAGCCTAGAGTGCAGTGGCGCGATCTCAACTCACTGCAAGCTTCGCCTCCCGGGTTCCCGCCATTCTCCTGCCTCAGCCTCCCGAATAGCTGGGACTACAGGCATCTGCCACCACACCCGGCTCACTTTCTGTATTTTTAGTAGAGATGGGATTTCACCATGTTAGCTAGGATGGTCTTGATCTCCTGACCTCGTGATTCGCCTGCCTTGGCCTCCCAAAGTGCTGGGATTACAGGCATGAGCCACCATGCCCTGCCTTCCCAATCTTATAGACCAAATTATTTTAGCAAAACAAAATAACTTCTAAAAGTCAGTTTTCACTAATCTCATTTTCTGAGGAGCTAAGAAATACCAAAAGGTTTTATCAGGTGTTTGAACTGCGATGTTTTAAAATAGCCTCACTTGCCTGTATAGGTGGTCACCCACCAACTCATGTAATGTAACTTTTGGTTGACATCGAATACATACTTGAAAGTGGTCATAATTTAAGAAAAACATGACTGACATTTTACAAAGGCTCTCTACCTATCTGCTTTTTTCCCTCAGTTTGTGGACTATCAGCCCGTACAACAGGAGGGCGTATATATGGAGGGCAAAAGGCAAAACCTGGTGATTTTCCTTGGCAAGTCCTGATATTAGGTGGAAGCACAGCAGCAGGTGCACTTTTATATGACAACTGGGTCCTCACAGCTGCTCATGCCATATATGAGCAAAAACATGATGCATCCTCCCTGGACATTCGATTGGGCGCCCTGAAGAGACTATCGCCTCATTATACACAAGCCTGGGCTGAAGCTGTTTTTATACATGAAGGTTATACTCATGATGCTGGCTTTGACAATGACATAGCACTGATTAAATTGAATAACAAAGTTGTAATCAATAGCAACATCACGCCTATTTGTCTGCCAAGAAAAGAAGCTGAATCCTTTATGAGGACAGATGACATTGGAACTGCATCTGGATGGGGATTAACCCAAAGAGGCCTTCTTGCTAGAAATCTAATGTATGTCGACATACCAATTGTTGACCATCAAAAATGTACTGCTGCATATGAAAAGCCACCCTATTCAGGGGGAAGTGTAACTGCTAACATGCTTTGCGCTGGCTTAGAAAGTGGGGGCAAGGACAGCTGCAGAGGTGACAGCGGAGGGGCACTGGTGTTTCTAGATAATGAAACACAGAGGTGGTTTGTGGGAGGAATAGTGTCCTGGGGTTCCATGAATTGTGGGGAAGCAGGTCAGTACGGAGTCTATACAAAAGTCATTAACTATATTCCCTGGATCAAGAACATAATTAGTAATTTTTAATTCGCATGTCTGCAGTCAGTCAAGGATTCCTCATTTTTAGAAATGCCTGTGAAGACCTTGGCAGCAACGTGACCTGAGAAGCATTAATCATTACTATGAACATGGCAGTTGTTGCTCCACCCAAAAAACAGACTCCAGGTGAGACTGCTGTCATTTCTCCACTTACCAGTTTAATTCCAACCTTACCCACTGACTCAAGGGGACATAAGCTACGAGTGATAGTCACCTTTGCCAACCCAATGTAATGTGACTGCTCAAATTACATTTTGTTACTTTAAAAGGCCAGTCTCTTTTCATACTGGCTGTTGGCATTTCTGTAAACTGCTTGTCCATGGTCTTTGACTGTTTTTAAACTTGTTCTTATTGATCTCTGTAAGTGCTTTATATATTATAGCAGTATTGATTCAAGGATAACCTTGAATCTTTTGGGGTAGGTAGGCTGGAAACACAATACTTCAGCCCAGGTACCGACTAAAATTTCCATGTTAAAAACCAATACCACAAATTGGTGGGATACAATTATTCACTTATCAAATTGTCAGACAAAAGGAACGTGAATAGTAGTACTATTTCATATTGTTAAAGACAACATAAACTTCCCAAAGGACTATTTGGCAATACATTTTAAGCAAGACCAGGCATGTTCAGGGAGAGTGGCAGGCCATAGACTGGCAATACATTTCAAAAGCCCTTAAAAAGCATGCATAATCTTCGACTTAGCAATTTCAATGCTAAGAATTTATTTTAGCAGTAAGGATATTCCCAGCAATTGGAAATAACCTGAATAATGTTCAAATTCAGAAGACTGAATCAAAACGTGGCATTTCCACAAGATGAAAAATGACATTAGAAATAAGTGGTGACGTTATAGATAAATTTGTAATTTTTTCCCCTTTACAATGAACATGAAATACTTGGGCACAGTGATGCCTAACAAGAGCACAGATCACACAACAGTTGAGTCAAGTACAGAACACTAATACACAGTTAGGAGCTACTTTGCTTGTACTCAACAACAAAATCATTCTTACTATTACACATTATCTCTTGGATTACGGAGTAGTTCCTACTTTTTCCTACTAAGGACAAAACTTAAGTGCTGATTTAACCTTAAAAATCTCATTTCATTTTAGCTGGCTATTCCTTCCTAAAAGGTTTGAATAGCTAACATTCAAGTTTTTCCGTCTAACAGTTAACATTCCATGTAAAAGTTTACCGTGAGTCTTGGCCTCATTGCATATAAAGTATAAAGTACAACTTCTTGAGACTCAATTTTTATTTTCTTTTTTTAGACTCAATTTTTAAAGGTAACTTTCCAGCATCTGTATGTCACATATAAAAAGAAATCGTGTTTTTCCAGTAAGACTCCAGACACTAAACTGTGGTGTCAAAAAAATTTTTTATTTAGCTGGTTCAAAAAATTTTTTAGAATGAATGCATTTAGATGACCAAATAGATTTTTAAAAACAAATCTTTGCCAAATAGTTTAAGTACTTCTAAACTTCAAAATCTTTTTAGGGTAAAATAAATACCCGTATCTATGCAGTACCATAAACATGTTAATAAAAGGCTACTCAACATTGAAAGCCTTCTAAGACCAGTAACTGAAATTTACACAAGTGTAAAGAAGGGATTAAACCATGCCGTCGACAAGTTAACTTACCCCTGGGCTTCTTGAAGGCTTGTCAGTTTAGTCTTTGGAGGTCCCCGAGTACCATTTTAAGTGTTACCATGTTACTGCTGCTGAGTAATAGTGCAAGTGCTAAAATGCAAAATTCAGATGGTACAGGGTTTGGAAATCATGCAGATTTAGATGCAGATTAAAAAAAAAATTAAAACAACTCAAGATCCCTTTACAGAGGAAACCAAATAACGAAACAATGTGGCGATTACAAGTCTAAAGGATGACTTCATTTATAAATGTTTAAAACACGTAACTTGCAAAATGACAAACCTATTTATCATAATCTAATTAGGTAAGGGCATTAACTACTAACACAACAAATGTCGCATTCTTCCAACTAGAAAATGAGCTCAACTCTCACAGAATTAGTTACAAAAAAGTACAACAGAGAATCAATGTTATTGCTTTTACATACTTAACAATGCATTGTGAGAGTCTGAGTTTTGTAAGTGATTTTATTCAACTTTATTCAATGTTACCACATTCCCCCACCTCCTGGAGGACGAAGCCCATTCCACTTAACACTTCCAGACAGACAACCCACCCTAATTCTTAAAGCTATCAGGCCTCTTAATGGATTTCAGGCACAAGATAATTTGTGGTTTCTTCTACTTTATCCCTATTGCAATTAATTCCACTTTTCAAATCTCAAACTAGGAAGGTACTGATACTCCCTTTTCAATTGATATGCTTTGCTACAAAGCATTAGAAAATAATCAACATTTTGCCCACTCTCCCAAATAATCTTTTTAGAAGGAATGATTTCCCAATGGAGATTTATACAGGCCATGTAAATAGAACATCACCCAAATGCACAGAGGCACTAAGAAAAAGCCGGAGGGTACTGCTTACCATTTTAGGTGCGGTCACCCAGACTTATTCAAAACTAGATTTCAAAAGAAAAAAAAACAAAAACAAAAAACAAAAACAAAACAAAAAAAAAACTTTTCACTTTGGCCAATGCAAGAACAAATACCAATTAAGTCTGGGTATCAGGTGTCAATGCATGACAGGTGATGAATCCATTTGACTTGAGACAACTTTTCAAATAAGTTTATTTGAAGCAAAATAAACTACTGCCAAGAAACTTTATGAAAGTTCCATCTCAAAAGGGTCAAAAAAGGGGAATTAACTGCTATGAATTCTTTGCATTCAGGGCTGCAAAACAAAGACACATATTATTTAAATCAGTTTTATTTAAGAATTTCCAACAATGACAACTCTTATAAAAAGCATCCAAGCACAGGACACAGAACTGCAGCAAACAGCATTCTTATGGGTAGCTAACAGACATTAGAACTTCCACCCTTCTTTGAGACACCTGAGCTCACTGGTGAACTCTGCTTCAAGTCCTCCTGCAAAGCACACCACAAGCTCAGTCCATGTTCTCAGCCCATCAGCTTCAGTTCACATTGCCACACTTACATATCAGTAACAGAAGAGAACACACACCATACAGCATTCACAGCAGTTGACAAAGGGGTAGGGGGAGTACAAGTATCATTTCACTTAACACATTCAACTAATGTGGGTTATCTAAGAACAAAAACTCACTTAAAGTCTTCCAACAGATGTGGATGTCCTTTGAATGCAAAAAACATTCGTACATTATTTGCTATCATTGCTCTCTGCACACTCTCTCACCAAAGCCACAGGATTGAGAGACACATCTCGCCAAGTTAAAAAATATCCATTATGCACCACCAAGTCTCTGCACGCGCTCTCTCCTTTTCTCGCTCATACTAGCCTTTCATGCCTCGGCACCACCATCAATCCCACACAAGGTTTCAAAAGTTCAAACAGCCTTCTGGTTCCATATCACAGCCTTGCGTTCATAGCGTTGATACGACTCCATGAAATAAAGAGTAGCGGATAAAAATGGGACACCCACCGTCAAAGACGCGGCCTGTGATGCGTGATGACGAATTCTTGAATGAGAAAGCATGTAGACAGAAGTATTCCTATGGCAGAATATTTACAGCACTACTTTCAATGAAGTGCTTCTTCCATAAACATTTGAAATGAGATGAACTGCAGAGATTAAATGAAGGCTTCATATTGTACTTTTGTATATGAGGGGAGACAAGTGTTAAAAAACAAAACAAAAGAACCAAACACTGTGACACCATGATCTCCTAAAAGGAGATTTTCTTAAGGAAAAAAATCCATATGGTGGGGTTCAAATTAAAACAAGGGGTAAAGAATGTAGTTCTAATCAATGGTTTCCATTTTGAACATGCAAAGAATTCACTTGACAAGTCCAGGGATAAAATATTACAGGAGAAACCTTTTGATATCAATTGTAGTGTGTTGGTTTACCAATCAGGCAAACAGCAGTTCACTTTCAACCACTCAATATTTCAACCTTTCATGTAACAAAACTTATAAAATTCCTTTAGCTCTTCCTTTTTCTAAAGAAAAATGTCAAAAATACTGCTGAATATACTCCACACTGAACAAACCAATTTTGAAAATTCTTAGTACATACGTATTTTACAATATACTTACCATGAGTTTAGAAAAATTTGAATTCCCACCATTCTATACCACCAACCACAACCCCACTGCCTACATTCCCCAGCCAGAAGACTTAGAATCCATGCTTGAGCCAAAGCCTCCATTAAAACCACTGCCCGACCCTGCATTTGATGCTGATCCCCAACCAATTGCTGCACCAGAATTAGAACCACTATAAGAGTTATTTCCAGAACCGAAGGCCTGGTTTGGCTCCCTCTGCATGTTGCCTTGGCTTTGGTTATTACCCGATGGGCCTGACTGGTTCTGCTGGCTGGCTAACATGCCCATCATACCCCAACTGCTCTGTAGTGCTGCCTGGGCAGCAGCCATCATGGCTGGATTAATGCTGAATGCACCAAAGTTCATCCCACCACCCATATTACTACCTTGATTGTTTCCCAAACCAGCTCCACCCCCTCTGCTATTACCAAATCCACCCTGATTCCCAAAGCCACCTGGATTACCACCAAATCTTCCACTTCTTTCTAACTGTCTATTGCTATTGTGCTTAGGTTCGGCATTGGATATATGAACGCTGATTCCTTTAATGATCAAGTCCTCTCCACAAAGAGACTGCGCAATCTATAAGAAATAAGGGATGTAAACAAAGAAGATTAAACCATTGATTCATACATTTAAAGTAGCAACAAAACTTAGATTACAAGCATTAATTTATCTAAAGCCAGAGGAAAAATAAGCAATGACTGCTCATTTCATTTAAACCCCCAATACAGCTTTTAGTTTTATTAATAGCAGCAGTGATATTTCCGTCGATTTTCAAAAGACATAGGCTGGACATGGTGGCTCATGCCTGTAATCCTAGCGCTTTGGGAGGCCAAGGTGGGAGGACTGGGTAAGGCTAAGAGTTGAAGACTAGCCTGGCAGCCTGGACGACACAGGGAGACCCCACCTCTATTAAAAAAACCCCACAGCCGGGCGCGGTGGCTCACGCCTGTAATCCCAGCACTTTGGGAGGCCGAGGCGGGCGGATCACAAGGTCAGGAGATCGAGACCACGGTGAAACCCCGTCTCTACTAAAAATACAAAAAATTAGCCGGGCGCGGTTGTGGGCGCCTGTAGTCCCAGCTACTCGGGAGGCTGAGGCAGGAGAATGGCGTGAACCCGGGAGGCGGAGCTTGCAGTGAGCCGAGATCGCGCCACTGCACTCCAGCCTGGGCGACAGAGTGAGACTCCGTCTCAAAAAAAAAAAAAAAAAAAAACCCACAAAATGCCACATTAGCTGGGCATAGTGGCATGTACCTGTCCTAGCTACTCAGGAGGCTGCAGCTGAAGGATCCTCCCCTGGAGGCTGAGCCCAGGAGTTCTAGGATGTAGTGAGCTTTGATTACACCACTGTGTTCCACCAGCCTGGGCAACGGAGTGAGACCTTGTCTCAAAAAAAAAAAGGGGGGGGGACCAGGAGCGGGAGCAGTGGCTTGCGCCTGTAGTCCCAGCACTTTGGGAGGCTGAGGCAGGTGGATCACCTGAGGTCAGGAGTGCAGGACCAGCCAGACCAAAACAGTGAAACCCCGTCTCTACTAAAGATACAAAAAAATGGCCAGGTGTGGTGGCTCACACCTGTAATCTCAGCACTTTGGGAGGGAGGCTGAGGTGGGCGGATCATCTGAGGTCAGGAGTTTGAGACCAGCCTGGCCAACATGGTGAAACCGTGTCTCTACTAAAAATACAAATAAATTAGCTAGGCGTGGTAGCAGGCGCCTGTAATCCCAGCTACTTGGGAGGCTGAGGCAGGAGAACTGCTTGAACCCATTAGGTGGAGGTTGCAGTGAACCGAGATTGTGCCACTGCACTCCAGTCTGCGCAACAAGAGCAAAACTCTATCTCAAACAAAAAACAAAACAAAAAATGCCACATACTGAAAACTATCTAAAGGTATACTTACTTTTAGATTTTTTAAAAATATTACATTTGGGATATCAGATACAGGTATCACAAACATCCAGGCCCATACACCCTACATCTTACAAGGTCAGAAAACTCAGCCAAGACTAGCAATTAGCTGGATGGGAAATGTTCAAGAGAAATTACCTAATTACCTGGGACATATTTTTTTTTGAGACAGTCTTGCTCTGTCACCAGGCTGGAGTGCAGTGGCGTGATCTCAGCTCACTGCCACCTCCGCCTCCTGGGTTCAAGTGATTCCCCTACCTCAGGCTCCAGAGTAGCTGGGACGACAGGCGTGCACCACCATACGCAGCTAATTTTTTTTTTTTTGTATTTTAATAGAGACAGGGTTTCGCCATGTTGGCCAGGATGGTCTTGATCTCCTGACCTCGTGATCCGCCCACCTCAGCCTCCCAAAGTGCTGGGATGACAAGCATAAGCCACCACGCCTGGTCGGGACATATTGTTAAGGAGAAAAATACCTGATCATCTGCAAATGTAACAAAGGCAAAGGCCCTGAACGGCTTGGGGATGAAGACATCCATCACATCCCCGTACTGAGAGAAGAACTCCCGCAGCTCATCTTCAGTCATGTCCTCTGTACAGCGCCCCACAAACACTTTTCTGCTTCTCAAAGGCTCATCTTGGCTTTGCTGATCAAATCAAAAGGAAGAAAAAAAACTCAGAAATATGTTATGAACAATGAAAAAAGCATTAAGGTAAGGGATATAACAAAATCATTCTGCCTTGGATAGCAGTGAATCATTAAAAAGTAGACATACCCTTAATTTTTTGCATCAGCATTTTTTTTCTTAAAAGGCTTCAGTGAAGAGTAACGTTTTAAGTTACAAAAGTACAGTCATGCATCACATCACGATGGACATATGTTCTGAGAAATACATCATGAGCCATTACACAATTTCATCATTGTGGCCAGGTGTGGTAGTGAACGCCTGTAATCCCAGCACTTTGAGAGGCCGAGGCGGGTGGATCACCTGAGGTCTGGAGTTCAAGACCAGCCTGGTCAACATGGTGAACCCCCAGCTCTACTAATACAAAAATTAGCTGGGTGTGGTGGCAGGTGCCTGCAATCCCAGCATCTTGGGAGGCTGAGGCAGGAGAATCACTTGAATCCAGGAGGTGGAGGTTGCAGTGAGCCAAGATTGCACCTTTACACTCTAGACTGAGCAACAAGAGTAAAACTCCGTCTCAAAAAAAAAAAAAAAAGGCCGGGCACAGTGGCTCACGCCTGTAATCCCCACACTTTGGGAGGCCAAGGCAGGTGGATCACCTGAGGTCAGGAGTTCAAAATAAGCCTGACCAACATGGAGAAACCCCATCTCTACTAAAAATACAAAGTTAGCCAGGCATAGTGGTGCATGACTGTAATCCCAGAAACTCGGGAAGCTGAGGCAGGAGAATTGCTGGAACCTGGGAGGCGGAGATTGCAGTGACCCAAGAGCACGCCATTGCACTCCAGCTTGGGCAACAAGAGCAAAACTCCGTCTCAAAAAAAAAAAAAAAAAAAAAAAAAAAAAAAGCCAGGCGCAGTGGCTGGGCAGATCATGAGGCCAGAAGATTAAGACCATCCTGGCGGCCGGGAGCGGTGGCTCAAGCCTGTAATCCCAGCACTTTGGGAGGCCGAGACGGGCGGATCACAACGTCCGGAGATCGAGACCATCCTGCCTAACCCGGTGAAACCCCGTCTCTACTAAAAAATACAAAAAACTAGCCGGGCGAGGTGGCAGGCGCCTGTAGTCCCAGCTACTTGGGAGGCTGAGGCAGGAGAATGGCGTAAACCCGGGAGGCGGAGCTTGCAGTGAGCTGAGATCCGGTCACTGTACTCCAGCCTGGGTGACAGAGCGAGACTCCATCTCAAAAAAAAAAAAAAAAAAAAAAAAAAAAAAAAAGACCATCCTGGCTAACATGGCGAAACCCCATCTCTACTAAAAATACAAAAAATCAGCCAAGCGTGTTGGCAGGCGCCTGTAGTCCCAGCTACTCAGTAGGCTGAGGCAGGAGAATGGCGTGAACCCAGAAGGTGGAGCTTGCAGTGAGCTGAGATCGCACCACTGTACTCCAGCCTGGACGACAAAGTGAGACACTGTCTCAAAAAAACAAACAAACAAACAAAAGATCGTCATTGTGCAAACATCATATAAACCCAGATAGCACAGCCTACCCCACACTTAGGCTAGATGGTATAGCCTATTGCTCCCAGGCCACAAACTTCCAAGTTACTGTACTCAACACTGTAGGTGACTGACTGTAACATGATTGTAAGTATCTGTGTATCTAAACATAGAAAGGGTACCATAAAAACAGTGTTATAATCTTATGGGACCACTGCTGTACACGTGGTCTGCTGCTGACTGATGAACTTTGCCAGGTGACGCATGACTGTATTTGGACTTGAGAAAATCAATAAATACGCAATCTCCTGGCAAAGATGATGATGTTCCAAATAAGCAAATGTTATTTGTTTGCTTGGAAAAAGGTCTTTATAACAAGATTAATGTACGTATTCTGATTGTCTTTATGTTTTAACATATAACTATGTAAGAAACTGTTAACTTGACAAATAATCTTTCCTCTTTTCCATGCATAACAAAAAGGAAGAACAAAATGAACAAAGGTTTCATTTGGAGAAGTAATAAACTAAATATTTCAAACAAGCATAAAATATTCAGCATGCATTAAGGGCCAAAGACTTCAACAAGACAAAAGGATTTCATGAACACACCCTACCACTATCTTTTCTAAGTGTGTTTACATTTTATCTTACAATCTTCTAAGGAAGTTTGTCAGCAAAAAATCCCAAAGCACAGACCCAAGTACCTTAGAATTAGGAAGTTTACAGTCACACCATCGTCCATCTATCATATGTCGCTGTGACATTACTTTCACCTGTGTTTCATATTCCGTAAAACGAACAAAGCCAAACCCCTTTGAATGACCAGTCTTAAGATCTTTCTTGACCTAGAAAGGATGATTTAAGTTTACTCTAACAGTACACATACACATTCCACGCCCAAATCATAGTTCCTTAAAAAACAATTTGAATGGTTTTAACTGGATGCAGTTGTTTAAAACTTAAACCAAGTTAGTCTTCAGAGTAAAAACAAGGAGGTTAATATTGAATCCATACCGTGTTAACAATAGAGCAAAACTCACTTATACAACAGAAATGTTTTTGAGTTCTTAAAAAAAAGAGAGATGGGGCCAGGCGTGGTGGCTCACACCTGTATTCCCAGCGCTTTGGGAGGCTGAGGAGGGTGGATAACTTGAGCACAGGAGTTAAAGTCCAGCCTGGGCAACACAGTGAAACCCTATCTCTACAAAAAATACAAAAATTAGCCAGGTATAGTGGCATGCGTCTGTAGTCCCAGCTACTTGGCAGGCTGAAGCACAAGAATAGCTTGAATCCAGGAGGCAGAGGTTGCAGCAAGCCTAAATTGCACCACTGCACTCTAGAGCCTGGCTGACAGAGCCAGACCCTGTCTCCAAAAAGAAAAAAGAGAAACTGAGTCTGGATTATGTTGGCTAAGGTGGTCTTGAACTCCTGGCCTCAAGCAATCCTCCCACCTCAGCCTACCAAAATGCTGGGATTACAGGCATGAGCCACCACAACAGGATTTTAACAGAATGTCTTAGAATGAATTCAAAGATAAAAAGCTATTATCACCTAATTCCCTTAAGCCTTCATGCAACAGCAGGATTTTACAATATCGAAGGTAATAATATAGAGTACAAGATATGTGTGTAAATATAACAAATATTGGAAGTATCATTTGTGTAACAGGAAGTACACTGCCATTAAAATAACAAGAATATGGCCGGGCACGGTGGCTCACACCTGTAATCCCAGCACTGGGAGGCCAAGGCAGGTGGATCACCTGAGGTCAGGAGTTCAAGAACAGCCTGGCCAACTGGTGAAACCCTGTCTCTACTAAAAAATACAAAATTAGCCAGGCGTGATAATGTGCGCCTGTAATCCCAGATACAGGAGGCTAAGACAGGAGAAATCGCTTAAAGACAGGAGAAATCGCTTAAACCCAGGAGGTGGAGGTTTGCAGTGAGCCAAGATAGTGCCACTGCACTCCAGCCTGGACAGCAAAGTGAGACTTGGTCTCCAAAAAAAAAAAAAAAGTAACAAGAATGTGGCTAAGGCATCATGGCTCAGCACACTTGGGTTGAGGTGGGAGGACAGTTTGAGCCCAGGAGTTCAACACCAGAGCATAGGCAACATAGTGAGACCCCATCTCTATGTATACCAATAAATAAATGCCAGATGCTCATTCACTGTAAAGAAAAACTGTTTGATGCAATCGAAGTTTACCTGCACCATAAGAACTTCTCCAAAGGTACTAAAATACTCTTTCAGGTCCTGTTCAGTTGTTTTCCATGGGAGACCCAACACTATTAAATCGGATGTTTTCTGGACTGCTCTTTTCACTTTCACTGCTGATGAAGCATCTGTCTCATCCATTTTTCTTTTGTTATCTAAATAAAATGAGCAGAAACCTTTTAGACTTAGCACTTCTTTAAAAACACTACCTCCTACATCCAGAAATGAGAAGCAAAAAGAAGACTCTAAGAAGAGTAAGACACTGAAAACTTGCAAGAAGTGATTTTTGCTCTAGAGGACAGAATAAAGGCTTAAGTTTAGTGTCTGAGGTGCTTTTCTGGTGCAAATTCAGTGATTTCCAATTTTGTTTTTTGTAGTACTTCCAGATTACAATCTCTCTCAAAAGGTTTATCAAAACAAAAATAATTCTACTTCACTTTGACTTTAAGTATCAGCAACTTGTATCTCCCGATGTAGATTTCACTTTTATCTTTCCTAAACATTCGACAATACACAGCTTTTGCAATAAAATGGAAAACCAGGCACAGTGGTGTATATGCCTGTAAGTTCCAACAACTCAGGAGGCTGAGGAAGGAAGTTCCAACAAACTCCTGCCTTAGAGTCCAGGAGTTTGAGGCTGCAGGGTGTCTATGAACAGCCACTACAATATGCCTAGGCAACAGAGCAAGAGCCCCCATCTCTAATTTCAAAAAAGAAAAAGAAACCAAAAGTTTGGCTTACTTAAAAAAACATAACCAGCTGGGCATGGTGGCTCACACCTGTAATCCCAGCACTTTGGGAGGCTGAGGCAGGTGGATCACAAGGTCAAGAGTTCAAGACCAGCCTGGCTAAGATGGTGAAACTCCATCTATGCTAAAAACACACAAAAAAATTAGCCGGGCTCGGTGGCAGGCGCCTGTAATCCCAGTTACTTGGGAGGCTGAGGCAGGAGAATTGCTTGAACCCAAGGGGCAGAGGTTGCAGTGAGCCAAGATTGTGCCACTGCACTCCAGCCTGGGCGAGACTTTGTCTCAAAATAAAATAAAATAAATAAATAGATAAAAATACAAACATTAGCCGGTCGTGGTGGCAGGCGCCTGTAATCCCAGCTACTCAGGAGGCTGAGGCAGAGAACTGCTTGAACCCCAGAGGTGGAGGTTGCAGTGAGCCAAGATCGCGCCACTGCACTCCAGCCTGGGTGACAGAGCAAGACTCCATCTCAACAAACAAAAAACAACAACAAAAAACTCCTACACAACCTTAACCTTAGGTTATTTAGAAGAGAAAGGGAGATAATTTTTTTTTTTTTTTTTTTGAGACGGATTCTCATTCTGTCACCCAGGCTGGAGTGCAGTGGTGTAATCTCCCCTCACTGCAACCTCTCCCTCCTGGGTTCAAGTGATTAAGTGATTCTCCTGCCTCAGTCTCCTGAGTAGCTGGGATTACAGGTGTGAGCCACTGTGTCCGGCCTGGAGAGATAAATTAAATGACATTTTTTTCTTTTTTCTTTTTTTTTTTTTTTTGAGAGGGAGTCTCGCTCTGTCACCCAGGCTGGAGTGCAGTGGCCGGATCTCAGCTCACTGCAAGCTCCGCCTCCCGGGTTTACGCCATTCTCCTGCCTCAGCCTCCCGAGTAGCTGGGACTACAGGCGCCCGCCACCTCGCCCAGCTAGTTTTTTGTATTTTTAGTAGAGACGGGGTTTCACCGCGTTAGCCAGGATGGTCTCGATCTCCTGACCTCGTGATCCACCCGTCTCGGCCTCCCAAAGTGCTGGGATTACAGGCTTGAGCCACCGCGCCCGGCCCTTTTTCTTTTTTTTGAGACGGTGTCCCGCTCTGCTGCCCAGGCTGGAGAGCAGTGGCACCATCTCAGCTTACTGCAACCTCCACCTCCTGGGTTCAAGCAATTCTCCTGCCTCAGCCTCCCCAGTAACTAAGACTACAGATGCAAACCACCGCGCCTGTCTAAGTTTTGTATTTTTAGTAGAGACGGGGTTTCACCACGTTGGCCAGGCTGGTCTTGAACTTCGGACCTCAGGTGATCTGCTCACCTCAGCCTCCCAAAGTGCTGGAATTACAGGTGTGAGCCACTGTACCCAGCCTGACATTTTAAATTTGGGTAAATATTAATCTATACCCAATGGCTGAAGAAACAGCATACTAAAAACCCCCAGTTTACATTATTAATTATTATTATTTTTTTTGAGACGGAGTCTCGCTGTGTCTCCCAGGCTGGAGTGCAGTGGCGTGATCTCGGCTCACTGCAAGCTCCGCCTCCCGGGTTCACGCCATTCTCCCGCCTCAGCCTCCCAAGTAGCTGAGACTACAGGCGCCCGCCACCACGCCCGGCTAGTTTTTTGTATTTTTAGTAGAGACGGGGTTTCACCATGTTAGCCAGGATAGTCTCGATCTCCTGACCTCGTGATCCACCCGCCTCGGCCTCCCAAAGTGCTGGGATTACAGGCTTGAGCCACCGCGCCCGGCCCATTATTAATTATTATTATTATTTCATTATATATTTTTTTGAGACAAAGTCTTGCTCTGTCACCCAGGCTGGAGTGCAGTGGTGCAATCTCAGCTCACTGTAATCTCTGCCTCCCAGGTTTAAGCGATTCTCCTGCCTCAGCCTCCAGAGTAGCTGGGACTACAAGGCGCCCGCCACCACACCCAGCTAATTTTTGTTTTCGTTTTTTTTCTTTTTGTTTTGAGACGGAGTTTCGCTCTTGTTGCTCAGGCTGGAGTGCAATGGCGTAATCTATTCACTGCAACCTCCGCCTCCCGGTTCAAGCGATTCTTCTCCTGCCTCAGCCTCCAGAGTAGCTAGGATTACAGGCACCCACCACATCCAGCTAATTTTTTGTTTTTAATAGAGATGGGGTTTCATCATGTTGGCCAGGATAGTCTCGATCTCCTGACCTCGTGATCCACCCGCCTCGGCCTCCCAAAGTGCTGGGATTACAGGCTTGAGCCACCGCGCCCGGCCCATTATTAATTATTATTTCATTATATATTTTTTTGAGACAAAGTCTTGCTCTGTCACCCAGGCTGGAGTGCAGTGGTGCAATCTCAGCTCACTGTAATCTCTGCCTCCCAGGTTTAAGCGATTCTCCTGCCTCAGCCTCCAGAGTAGCTGGGACTACAAGGCGCCCGCCACCACACCCAGCTAATTTTTGTTTTCGTTTTTTTTCTTTTTGTTTTGAGACGGAGTTTCGCTCTTGTTGCTCAGGCTGGAGTGCAATGGCGTAATCTATTCACTGCAACCTCCGCCTCCCAGTTCAAGCGATTCTTCTCCTGCCTCAGCCTCCAGAGTAGCTAGGATTACAGGCACCCACCACATCCAGCTAATTTTTTGTTTTTAATAGAGATGGGGTTTCATCATGTTGGCCAGGCTGGTCTCAAACTCCTGACCTCAGGTGATCCACCCACCTCGGCCTCCCAAGTGCTGGGATTACAAGCATGAGCCACCGTGCCTGGCCCTAAAGTTTTTCTACACATGTAAAAGAGTGTCTTGCATACTGACCAAATTTGATAAGACTTTGTTGCAATACCAAGTTATAATAAAAGGAACACACAGATCGACTATTAACAGTACACTACTTCAAAATGCGAAAATTAGCTATTTCTCATGCTTCCTTTTCTTAGATTTAGAACATCAGTGATAAGAGGCAGCGAGAAGGATAAGACCAGAACCTCAAAATTGTAATTGGAACTACACTAATTCAAGATTTGGCTACTGCAACTGTTTGTTCATTTAAGGGAAGAAATGAAGTCACATGTGCCAAATGAATGATGTAAGACCAAAAGGACAATGATCAAATCCAAATACTCGAGCACTTCAGAAGAATCTATTTACAACACTGATAGAAGCGCAAAACATTATTAGTAATTCCTTAAATTTGGCATCAACTTGGTAAAGCTTATTCAGATATTTTTAAAATACATCGCTTTCTCTTTTAAAATGATCTATAATCCCCAGTTTCCATAAATTTAGACTCATGGTCTTCCAAACTTGTCTAATAGTGAAGTTCAAGGAAATACTGAAGTTACAGGAGACATTCTGCCAGGAAACAAGGCTAAGATCCATGGATGAGACACACACCCGACCACATTTCAGCATGATTACAAAACCAAATAGTAACAAACCTTTCGGATAGTTGACAACATAAACCAGATTTCCCCAGCCAGCATCGGGGGCATGCAGAATTCCTTCTACCAGTCGGACACCTCTCATACATTGAGACACTGGATTCCTGTAGCGAAGCCCACACGCCCCTGGAAACTGGGCTGTGACCGTGGACAGCAGCACCGTCCCATCGTCTTCCGATGGTATTTCAATGGGCTCATCGTTCTCATCTTCGGTTACCCGAATATATTCAGACATCTTTTACTTTTCTTAAAGGGAAAAGAGATATGAATGAACAACATTCACGTCACAGTAACTGTTTCCTTATAACGATAATACCCAAACCATCTTAGTGTTCTGACTTCCAGAAAAATTCTTGTCTGGATTCGTACATGCATTGGTTATCTCTGAAAAATGACGAGGTGAAGGTAAGGGTAGTGATTTCCTGTCAAAATCTGATGCCTCGCCAGTTCATTCATTCAAAAAACTTTCCCTGAAGACTTATAGATGCGTCAGGTACTGAAACTGAGTCCAACGTGGCTTTCTGGTTACAAGCTGGGGTATGCAAGGGAACAATAAACAGTAGCTATTTTATGACCATCGTGGAAGTCGTTAAGTAATCCTGAAAGTAGGGGAAGAGCCTAACTGGCTGAGGCATGGGCGTGATGGGTCCAAGTCGATCTTCCTAAGCAAGCGATCCATCAGCTGAACCTGAAGACTGAATATGGGCAGTGAATCAGGTGTAAAGAACAGGAGAAAAGTTCTTCTCTGTTCCTCATTTTGCAGCTTCCGGGAGCTCCATGAGCCCGAGCCGCAAGGCCCGCGGCGACAGGTCGTGGCGGAGCCGGCCGCCGCCTCCCAGAAGCCCGCGCGTGCCAGCCGAGGGAGGAGTTTCTCAGCGCGGCCCGGGGTGGGGCGCAGGAGCACCAGGCCGAGCTGGCAGCGTCCCTCGGAGTACAAAGTACCGAAGGCTCCGGCACTGTCCGGGTCCGGGTCCGGGGCCAACCTCCGCCTCAGCCTGCGCGGCACCACGGGCCCGGCTCCCCGTTTCTGCACCAGCGGCCTCCCTGTGCCCGGACCTGACGACGCTCCCGCGCGAGCCCGCTCGGGCAGAACTAGGCCCGGTCTCACGACTCACATCCCGGGGCAGGGGCCGAAGCCGCTGCGTCCGCCTCGGGCCGCCCCAAGGCGAGAGCCGAAGCACCTACGGCATCCTCAGTGAGAAGGCTCCGCGACTCACCCACTAGGCCGCTGCTGGGAAGCCCGACAGGGACACCGAGGCAGCGACGGACCCAAGCGCAGCCCAGCGACCGCTTCGCTCCCACAAAATGGCGCTAGGGCCGCCTCCTTCCCCCCGCCCACCGGCGTCCTCTCCCACCGGTTGCCCGTCCAGAGGTGGAAGGCGCCGAGGAGAGCCACGATGACCCTCTCCCCAGGGACTCGGGCTGCCTCTTGGAAATTCGAGCCTGCAGAGAAGCTCTGAAAGCTAAAATAAAACCAGGACCTAGGCCTGAAAAGCTGAAGATTGCAAAAAGTATGGCTGTGTAGGCGCTGACCTCCCCCCATGTAACGCAGCAGATGGTTTCGGCCGACCAACCGCCGGCCCAGGTCTCGGTCGGAGCTCGCGCACTTTCAAAGAGCGCGAGAGTAGCGCAGAGTCTCGGCCAGCAAGAGCGGAGCGGGGCGGGGCGGGGCGGGGCGTGAGGGGGCGGGGCTCGGGATCCCGGGCCCAGTCCACTTGCGAGGCAGGGTAAACCCTGGATCTCTTTTCTGAAAGGCGGACCTGTGCGTCCTCTCCTCCCTCCGCTAGCCCACCTCCAAACCTGGAAACAATAACTTTGTTCTAAATAATAGCAGTAATAGCGCTACTTTGTACCAGGTACTTTCTGAGTATTCGCATATTTAATAATAGCCCATACAGTTTGGTGTAGGAGGAACTATTGATACTCATTCTGCGGGTGAGGAAACTGAGGCACAGAGAGATCAAGTATCTTGCTTAAAGTCACGCAAGGATTAGCCGGGCGGTAGTGGCGCGCGCCTGTAATCCCAGCTACTCGGGAGGCTGAGGCAGGAGAATTGCTTGAACCCGGTAGGCGGAGGTAGCGGTGAGCCGAGTTCGTGCCACTTCACTCCAGTCTGGGCGACAAGGTGAGATCCTGTCCTCCTCCCCCCGCCAAAAAAAAGTCACCCAAGGAATAAATGGTAGACCTGGAATTTGAATCTCGAGGCACAAAATGCTAACTAGTTCTGGCTCCAGCCGTCTAATAATAATAATAATACAGTACTTCATCTATTTTAAGGCACACTTTTTGTTTCTTTTTTTTTTTTTTGAAACGGAGTCTCGCTCTTGTACCCCAGGCTGGAGTGCAGTAGCGCAATGTGCAGCTCACTGCCACTTCCACCTCCAGGTTCAAGGGATAGCTGGGATTATAGGCGCGCGAAGACACCATGCCCGGCTAATTTTTGTAATTTTTAGTAGAGACAGTGGCCATGTTGGCCAGGCTGATCTCGAGCTCATGGCCTCAAGTGATCTGCCCGCCTCGCCCTCCCAAAATGCTGGGATTACAGGCACGAGCCACCTTTCTTTTCTATCTTTCCTTTCCTTCCCTCCTTCCCTTCCCTCCCCTCCCCTTTTCTTTTCTCTTTTCTTTCCCTTCCCTTCCCTTCCCTTCCCTTCCCTTCCCTCCCCTCCCCTTTTCTTTCCCCTCCCCTCCCCCCTCCCCTTCCCCCCCTCCCCTCCCCTTTTCTTTCCCCTCCCCTCCCCCCTCCCCTTCCCCCCTCCCCTCCCCTTTTCTTTCCCCTTCCCTTCCCTCCCCTCCCCTCCCCTTTTCTTTTCTCTTTCCCTTCCCTTCCCTTCCCTTCCCTCCCCTCTCCTCCCCTTTTCTTTTCTCTTTCCCTTCCCTTCCCTTCCCTTCCCTTCCCTCCCCTCCCCTCCCCTCCCCTCCCCTTTTCTTTTCTCTTTCCCTTCCCTTCCCTTCCCTTCCCTTCCCTTCCCTCCCCTCCCCTCCCCTCCCCTCCCTTTTTCTTTTCTCTTTCCCTTCCCTTCCCTTTCCCTTCCCTTCCCTCCCCTCCCCTCCCCTCCCCTTTTCTTTTCTCTTTCCCTTCCCTTCCCTCCCCTCCCCTTTTCCTCTTCCCTTTCCCTTTCCCTTTTTTTTTTTTTCAGACTCCCTCTGTTGCCCAAGCTGGAGTGCAGTGGCACAATCTCAGGTCACTGCAACCTCCACCTCCCCGGTTCAAGGGATTCTCCTGCCTCAGCCTCCTGAGTAGCTGGGACTACAGGCATGTACCACCATGCTCGGCTAATTTTTGTATTTTTAACCCCTGTTGGCCAGGCTGGTCTCAAACTCCTGACCGCAGGTGATCTGCCCACCTCGGCCTCCCAAAGTGCCACTGTGCCCGAAATTTGTTTCACATTTCTAAGGTCAGTATGTGACTTCAGTTCCAGTTCATGATGATGTGTCATAATTTAATTGACAACTATTTATGTTTCTTTGTATATACATGTATCACATTCAATGAATTACAGTTACAAATGTTTACACAAAGTACTTTATTTATATATTTAAGATGGGGTCTTACTCTGTCACCCAGGCTACAGTGCAGTGCGGTGACCTCGGCTCACTGCAACTTCCAACTCCAGGGCTCAAACGATCCTCTCACCTTAGCCTGCCAAGTAGCTTGGACCACAGGTGCACACCACCACACTCAGCCAATTTTTTGTAATTTTTGTAGAGACGGGGTCTTGACGTGTTGCCCAGGCTGGCCTCCAACTCCTGAGCTCAAACGATCCACCTGCCTCAGCCTCCCAAAGTGCCGGCATTACAGGCGTGAGCCACCAGACCTGTCAGAGAAGTTGGTTTTATCACTCCCATTTTACAGAAGAAAAACCTGAGGCTCAGAGACCATATGACAGGCCTGAGGTCATACAGTTGCTCAAGGATGTCACCTAGCCCATAAATTGCTGTCCCAGGTTGGTCAGAACCTAAACCTCTGCACTATGTCCACCACACTGGCCACTTTCTGCAACAAGACTGAGACCGAGATATTTATTGTGGGTAGTGTTGTGGAGTCCTGGACACTGGCTGCAGGTGGGCAGAACTGGGTGTGCAGAATCTCCTAGGGATAGATCACACAGGAACACAACCCCAAAGGCTGGCCCTTCTCCCTAGAAGTTTTCAGGCGAGTTGAGAGGAGAAGCAAACACCGTCTGGAAGAATGTAAGTAACTCAATCAGGAAGAGAATTATAGGACCAGAGGGAGGCTGGACCATAGATCCTCCTGCTGCTGTCTCAGTTATCTCTGGGATTCAGCTTTACAGCACTGATAGTCAAAAGTTGTTTGAAATTCAGCTTTTTTTTTTTTTTTCCAAGACAGAGTCTTGCTCTGTCGCCCAGGCGGAATGCAGTGGTATGGTACAATCTCCGCTCACTGCAACCTCTGCCTCCCGGGTTCAAGCTATTTTCCTGCCTCAGCCTCCCAAGTAGCTGGGACTACAGGTGTGTACCACCACACCTGGCTAATTTTTCGTAGAGATGAGGTTTCACCATGTTGGTCAGGCTGGTCTCGAACTCCTGACCTCAAGCGATCCTCCCGCCTCAGCCTCCCAAAGTGCTGGGATTACAGGAGTGAGCCACTGTGCCTGGCCCAGGCCCCGGTTTTCAACGGGGTCACTTGGGGACTTACCTTCTCCCCTTCCATCACCTCCCTTGAATTCTCCCAGCTCATCAGCTCCATGAGGTGAACAGGACGAAGCTCTACAGCATTCCTGGAAACTGAAAGAAGGCTGGGGGGCATGGTGGCTGACGCCTGTAATCCCAGCACTTTGGGAGGCTGAGGTGGGTGGATCACCTGAGGTCAGGAGTTCAAGGCCAACATGATGAAACCCCATCTCTACTAAAAATATGAAAAATTAGCAGGGCATTGTGGCAGACACCTGTAATCCCAGCTACTCGGGAGGCTGAGGCAGGAGAATTGCTTGAACCCGGGAGGCGGAGGTTGCATTGAGCCAAGATCACACCATTGCACTCCAGCCTGGGCAACAAGAATGAAACTCTGTCTCAAAACAAACAAACAAACAAACAAACAAACAAACTGAAAGAAATACCAGGGCAGTGATTTTATATATATATATATATATATATATATTTATGTAGGTGTGCACCACCACTTCTGGCTAATTAAAAAATTTTTTGGTAAAGACAGGGTCTCATTATGTTGTCTAGGCTGGTTATGAACTCCTTGCCTCAAGTGATCTTCCCACCTTGGCCTTCCCACATGCTACAATTACAGGCACGCACCACCACCCAGCCAATAAAGATATTTAAATAAAAGTAACTTTAGGGCTGGGAGCGGTGGCTCACACCTGTAATCCCAGCACTTTGGGAGGCCGAGGCGGGCAGATCACGTGAGATCAGGACGAGCCTGACCAACATGGAGAACCTTGTCTCTACTAAAAATACAAAAATAGCCAGGCATGGTGGTGCATGCCTGTAATCCCAGCTACTTGGGAGGCTGAGGCAGGAGAATCACTTGAACCTGGGAGGCCGAGGTTTCGGTGAGCCGAGATTGTGCCATTGTACTCCAGCCGGGGCAACAAGAGTGAAACTCGGTCTCAAAAAAAAAAAAAAAAAAGTAACTTTAGGCTAGGCGCAGTAGCTCACACCTGTAATCCCAGCACTGTGGGAGGATGAGGCAGACAGATCACTTGAGCCCAGGACTTCAAGACCAGCCTCGGCAACATGGTGAAACCCCGTCTCCACAAAAAATGCAAAATTTAGCCAGACGTGGTGATGTACAACTGTGGTTACAGCTACTGGAGAGGCTGTGGTGGGAGGATCCCTTGAGCCCAGGAGGCAGAGGTTGCAGTGAGCCATTATCAAGCTGTTGCACTCCAGCCTGGGCAAGTGAGACCCTATCTTACCCCAAAAAGTAACTTTATTGTATCAAGATTTAATTTCCTCTTCATCTCCATGCTTTTAGCTCCTGCCAAAATTAGAAGCTGCCTTCGCAAATAGTCTAGGTCTAACTTAGATTTTCAAAACAAAGTTTTTACTCAGAAATAATTTAAAATTTATGATAGAGTTGCAATAATAGTGCAAACACTGCTGTGTTCCCTTCATCCGGATTCATCAACTGATTACATTGTGTCACATTTGGTCTATCACTCACTCTCTCTAGACATATAAATTAATATGGCTGGGCACGGTGGCTCACGCCTGTAATCCCAGCACTTTGGGAGGCCAAGGCGGGCAAATCACCTCAGGTCAAGAGTTCAAGACCAGCCTGGCCAACATGGTGAAGCCCTGTCTCTACTAAAAATACAAAAATCATCTGGGCATGGTAGCTCATGCCTGCAATCCCAGCTACTCGGGAGACTG